AAGTAATTATTAATTTAATTTTTTCTTATAATAATAATTATTTTTAAAATTCGCTATAGGGCACATGTGCTCACTGTAGAGAGGGAGCAAGCAAGCCGCCAGGTTTGGGCCTCAAACTGCAGTTGGCTGTGTGGGAGTCCAGCACTTTAATTACCACGTCACCTGCTGGCCGCCTCATTCCCTTTCTTTTTAGAGGTTTTTGCTTGGGGGCATGTGCTCGCTGGAAAGAGAGACACACAGAGACAGTGAGAGGGAAAGTGAGAAATCACCCTCCGGGAGGATGGCCGTGCCTCAGCCCCTTCTCCCTCAGTCTCCTCCCGGGATCTTGGGCACCCAGGCACATGTAGCAGCATGATTTTCCAGTCACTGGGTCTGGGATTCGAACCATGGCTTGCCATGTGGGCGTCCAGTGACCTAACTGCTATACCATCTGCTGGGCCCATCCCCCCTCTTTTTTATTTTTTTTTTAAGAATTATTTTATTTAACTTGATTTTTTTTTTTTTTTACCATGAATCAAATTTCCCCGAAAGGGGAATTTTATTGATTACTCTATTCCCTCACAAACAGATCGGCTGTAATCAAATGAGGTGAACATTCACCTCAACATTTTGTCATCTTCCTAATAGAAAAGATGAGGCTTCGCCCTGGATCCCGTGACCCTTTCTCTTCTCTCCTCCCAGTTCACGATGCTCACATCTCTTGATAGCCAGCGTTCTCCTAGATCTGCAGTCGGGCTCCACACAGTCAAGCCTCAGCACAATCTTCTCTGTAGTTTTTGCCTTTTTCCAGGAAATAGGCTTAGTCTGTCCGCCATAGCCACTCTGCTTCCTGTCGTAACGCCGCTGTCCCTGAGCAGACAATCCCTGCCCTTGTACCGTGTCACTTTATGAGGTTGGCGCTTGCCACACTTCTTACAGAAGGTCCGGCGGGTTTTAGGGACGTTCACCATGCCTGCGGGCCTGCTAGCTGCACAGAAAAACTTATTTAACTTGATTGATTGATTGATTGATTGGTTTGACCATAGAGGCACTGAGCGAGGGGTGGGGGGAGTGAGAAAGCAAGCCACGAGGTCTGGGACTCGAACCATGGTTGGCCATGCACCCTTAACCACCAGTTCACCTGCTGGCCCCTCATCTTTTTTATTTAAGAGAGACATTTTTTGCTATAGGGCATGTGTGCTCGCTGAAGAGACAGAGACAGACAGAAAGTGAGAAGTCACCACCCCCCAGGGGTGCCCACGATGCAATCCCTTCTCTACATTCTCCTCTTGGGATCTTTGGCACACACGTACCCGGTGTGTGTGTGTGATTTATTTTTAAATAATTTTTAAAGTATTATTTAATTAATTCCATTTGTTATTGTTATTTTTTAATTTGACCAGAAAGAGAGAGAAAGGAAAGCAAGAAAAAAAAAGCCACCGGGTCTGGGACTCGAACCATGGTCAGCCATGTAGGAATCCAGCACCCTTACGCACCATACCACCTGCTGGCCCCCTGGTGTGTGTTTTAAGCTGCCAGGTCCAGGACTTCAACCATGGTCTACTATGTAGGAGTCAAGCGATGTAACCATTATAACATTTGATTGTCCCCCCGTCCCTTTTCTAACTTTATTTATTTACTTATTTTAATTTGACCAGAGAAGAACAGAGCAACAGAGAGAGAGGGAGAGAGAATGAAAGAGAGAAAGTGAGACAGCAAGCCACCAGGCCCAGGACTCAAACCACTGTTGGCTATGTGGGAGTCCAGTGTCCTTAACCACCAAGTCACCTGCCGGCCCCTTGTTATTATCTTTTAATTTGATGAGAGAGAGAGAGAGAAAGCGTCTGCCAGGTCTGGGACTTGAACTGTGGTCAGCCATGTGGCAGTCCAGCACCTCAATCACCATGCCACCTGCTGGCCCCCACCCCTTTTCTTTTCTTTTTTTTGAGAGGTTTTTGCTATAGGGCGCGTGCGCTCGCCAGACAGACAGAGACAGAGAGACAGAACGCGAGAAATCACCCCCCAGGGGGGATGGCCATGCCGCAATCCCTTCTCCTCCATTCTCCTCTCGGGATCTTGGGCACGCACGCACACGCACCCAGCGTGAGTTTAAGCCACCGGGTCCGGGACGTGAACTGCGGTCGACCACGTGGGAATCCAGCGACATAGCCATTACGCTAACTGCTGGTTCCACCCCCACCACCCCTTTTCTTAACCCCACAGTTTTCCCATCTTCAGCTTGCCTTTTCCCAAAACCTCCAAGAACGTCAGCTCTGGAGAAGCTGATCTGAGCCACTCCTGCCTGTGGCGCACTCTCCCCATAACCAGCCTGTGGTTTTCCGAGGTCTGTTTGAATATCGCAAACAACAGGATGCTCACTACCTGCTAAACAGCTCGGCTCGTTTTAGGCTGGTTCCAGGTGGCGATCAGTCCCTTTCTGGGGTTTTTACTGCTAATCTCTTCCTGGCCATGATAAAATTGTCAGTCAAGAAGTCACTTGCAGGACCAGCCAGTGGCGTGGACGTTAAGGCTGGACCCCACACAGCCGACGGAGCAGCTGGAGTTTCGGACCCGGACCCAGCGGCGTGAAAGCCATGCCAGGCATGGGCGCATGCAAAGGGAGGAGAAGGGGCTGCAATGCAACTGTCTCCAATAGGGTGCTTCTCTCTCTTTCCGCGTCTCTCTCTGTGTGCCTGTGCGCTCCCTGTAGTCAAAAAAAAAAAAAAAAGTTACTTGTAGCCCCAGATGGGGCCCCTAGCGGAACAGGCCACTAGTCCCGAGGACTCCTCGCAGTGGGGGAGTGACCATGCGCCCTTTCCCTTCAAGCCTCTTGATTTGGCTCAGAACTCCATGGACACGGTGCGCTTCCGTCACAGCGGGCCGTTTGCTTAACGTCCACGGGTAAAGGCCAAGTAACACCACGCTCAAGAAGAGACACGCGGTGACTTCCGGGGCCCGTGGGAGTTTCGGTTTCAAAAACATAAGCCTAAAGCAAAGAGAATTACTGATCGGTCACATCCTCCCACTCCGAAGCAGGGTTTGCTAAGGCGGGGTGGGCAGCCTGGAAGTTTTCCTGAGCTCTAAACGGGTGGTGACCGCCATCTGTCAGGAGAGGGAATGTGCGGTGCAGTAAGAGTGGCTCAGCAAAGCCACACGGGCATTGGACTTAGGGTCAGGACCAGCATTGGACTTAGGCCCACTCTGGCCTGAGGCCTGCCTTTGGAGTCTCATGGCCAGAAACCTCACAGCTTCCCATCTCCACTTAGACCCAGGTTGGATTGGCAACTTTAGGTAGGCCTCTCGGGGCCTCAGTTTGCTCACCTCAGATCAGAGGTTAGGCTTGACGGTTTCTTTCCTTCATTTTTTTCATTTGCCAGAAGGCATATGAGAGACAGAGAGACAGAGAGAGGAAGGAAGTGGGAGGGAGCACCCCCTCAACAGGGCATGCTACACCCTAATCCCCTCTTCTCCATCCTGTTTGGATTTTAGACATGCACACACACACCTGGATTGTTTTTTATTTTTTTGAAGAATTATGTCATTTAATTTTATTTATTTATTTTAATTTGACCAGAGAGGGACAGAGAGAGAGAAAGAAAGCAAACTGCAAGGTCAGACCTGAACTGCTCTCGGCCATGTGAGAGTCCAGCACCTTAATCACCATGCCACCTGGTCCCAGACCTGGAGTGTTTTTCAGGCTGCAGGCTGCAGGACTTGAACGTGCAGTCGGCCAGCGGACCTGGCTCCCCAGTCACTAGGCTGTAAGGCCAGCCCAAGGCTTCGTGGCTCCCATACCTTCGTGGGTGGGAATCTGTCTATTAACTCCATACCAGTCGGCATTTTTCATTTTTAAACAATTTTGCTAGAGTGCCTGCATGAGCATTCGTGCGGGTGGGCGGGGACAGAAAGTGGGAACGTCACCCTACCCCACAGGAATGGCCACACTGCCATCTCCATTGTCCCCTCGGGGTTCTGGGCCCTCAGGCACATGTGCTTGGGGTGTTTTTCAAGCTGCCACGTCCAATCCGGCACTCAAACCACACTGACCATGTGGGGTCCGGCTGCCTTAACCACACCACCGACCACCAGTTGGTATTTATTAGCGACACCTAGTTCCGGGTGCTGGGGGCCTTCAGACAAATGAAGCAGTTTCTCTTCTTGACGAACTCCCTCTCATGGGAGGGTGGAAGCACAGTGGTACTGACGTCTGGGTCAGTCCCGGGGAACGTGGTGCCTCAGCTCCTGGTCATGGTCTGGGCAGGTGCTGAGGAGCGTGAGTGGGAGGGGCACGCAGGGCTGGGAGGCTTCCTGGAGAGGGTGGCATTGGAGCTGAGTTCGCTCAGCAGGTGCACCAATGTGCGTGGGGGCATAGCGCATGGGTGGAGTAAGAAGACTGCCTAGGGTATTGGGGAAGAGCAGCCGGGGACACAGGCCTGTGAGTGTGAGTGTGTGTGTGTGAACAGACTGAGGGGTGGCTAGGATCTTGGTACTAAAGGGTCTCAAATGCCAGGGAGGGAGGTGGCTCAGGGACTTCTAGGGGCCTCAGAGGAGGCCCCCACTCAGCCTCAGGCAGCAGGCTCCCTACCTGCCTTCTCTATGGGTTCCGCTTGGTTTCCCTGACGCGCAGTTTCCACTGCTCAGAAGCAGACAAACAGAAAAGGTTAGGGCCCACAGGGCCAGCAGGTTTTCTGCTGGGGAGAAGTCGAACCCTGTTTGAAGGAACCCTGTGAAACCGACCTTGCGTGTGCACGTGCATGCGTGAGCGTGTGCTAGTGTGTGTGGCAGAGGCCCGGGGGCTGACTTTTGGAGGCAGGGGTCTCCTACTCCGCTGGCCTGGCAGGACAGGGGAGTGTAATTCCCAGGGGGGCACACGCTCTACTCTGGTAGGAAAATAACCCATCAAAGCCTAGGCCTCCCCCCTGCTGGGGGGTGGGTGCCAACCCCAGGAGGTAGTCCCCCAGCAGGGTACCGACCAGAGGGGGGAGGCAGGAAGTGGGTAAGTGCACTACAAAGGTGCCTGAGGCCGTTTGCCCGTCCCAGGTGGGAGGGCGGGGCCTCGGCTGGGCCGGGCCTGGGGCCTGTGTGAACTGACTGCTGGCCTGGAGGCTCAGAGGCAGGATCCCCTGTCTTAGCTTCTCCTGCCGAGCGAATGGGCCAGGAGCTGCCAATCTCAGGTACTTTGGAAAGTCGCAGGGGGAGGGCCTAGGATGTCTGTAGGGGAGCAGACCTCGGGGGAGCCCCTTCAGCCCCTCTCCATTCCCCCAGGGACCATGGGCTGTAGCTGCAGCTCAAACCCTGAAGATGACTGGATGGAGAACATCGACGTGTGTGGGAACTGCCATTACCCCATAGTCCCACTGGACGGCAAGGCCACGGTAAGAGGCAAGGTGGGGGACGGGCCGGGAGAGGGGGACTGGCCAGGGAGGGAGGGACTGCCCAGGGAGGGGGGGACTGGCGGGGGAGCAGGGGATTGGCTAGGAATGGAGGGGCAGGACTGGCCAGGTATGCAGGGGTATGTGGGAGGGGTGGTGACAGGCCAGGCCAGGGAGGAGGGTACTGGACTGGCCAGGGAGTTGGGGGGACCAGCCAGGAAGCAGGGAAGGGGCATGAACAAACGGTAGCAAGAAATAACCACCATCTAGGCCTTTAAATATCACCATGGCTAAAAGTTAAAAAAAAATTTTTTTTAAAGGGCTGATAGGGACCAGCACTTGGCGCAATAGCTATGTTGCTAGACTCCCATGTAGTTGACCATGATTCGAGTCCCAGACCTGGTGGCTTAAAAGCCAGGAAGCAGGGAAGGGGCATGAACAAACGGTAGCAAGAAATAACCACCATCTAGGCCTTTAAATATCACCATGGCTAAAAGTTAAAAAAAAATTTTTTTTAAAGGGCTGATAGGGACCAGCACTTGGCGCAATAGCTATGTTGCTAGACTCCCATGTAGTTGACCATGATTCGAGTCCCAGACCTGGTGGCTTAAACTCACACCAGGTGTGTGTGTGCATGTGTGCCCAAGATTCTGAGAGGAGGATAGAGAAGGGATTGCAGTGTGGCCATCCCCTCTGGGGTGTGATTTATCGTGTTCTGTCTCTGTCTTTCTGACAAGCGAATGAACCCTATAGCAAAAACCTCTCAAAAAAGGGAGGGGCAGCAGGTGGCGTGGTGAAGGACGCTGGACTCCCACATGGACATGGCTGAATGTGGTTCGAGTCCTAGACCTGGCGGTTTGCTTTCTCACTTTCCCTCTCTCTTGCTTTCTCTCTCTGTCCTTCTCTGGTCAAATGTAAAAAAAAAAAAAGCTTAAAATAAAAAAGAAAGAAATAGGAATAGGAAAAGAGGCCCAGAGAGGGGAAGGGATTCCAGTCACACAGCCAGGAGCCGGTAAGTTCAGAGCAAGCTGCGGTGGCGGCCAGGGTCTGACCCACTCTTCTGCCCATCTTCCACCCCACAGCTTCCCATGCGCAATGGCTCTGAGGTGCGGGACCCGCTGGTCACATACGAGGGCTCCAACCCGCCGGCCTCCCCGCTGCAAGGTGACCTCAGCCACTGCCTGGAAGATGGGGCCCCAGCCACCCCCTCCTCCCCTCTACCGGTCCTGTCCTGGTGTCCGCCCCAGCTCGTTCCCTGGCCTGAACTCCAGAGCTCCTCGCTCCCTATCTGCCTGGGCCGCCTCCCCTGACGCCCGTGTCTTTGCAGACAACCTGGTTATTGCCCTGCACAGCTACGAGCCCTCTCACGACGGGGACCTGGGCTTCGTAAAGGGCGAACAGCTCCGCGTCCTGGAGCAGTGAGTGCCCCTCCAGCCCACCCACCCCGCCTGCGGCGTCCGCGAGGGTCCCCGGTACCCAGCCCTCCTGCGGCTCCGGGCTGACTCGGGTGGTGCCCTTGGGACAAAATGGGAGGCTCCAGAGTGCTGAGCCGGGGCGGGTGGCTCGGCGGAAACCGGGGGTCTTGGGGGCTCTTCGGCTGAGTGGAGCAGGTCACGCTGATCACCTCCGTGGCGCAGGAGCGGCGAGTGGTGGAAGGCGCAGTCCCTGACCACCGGCCAGGAAGGCTTCATCCCTTTCAACTTCGTGGCCAAAGCGAACAGCCTAGAGCCCGAACCGTGAGTGGGGGGCCGGCAGCTCGGGACCGTGGGGCGAGGAGTGGTCCTGGGAAGCTGAGGGAGGGATGACGGACCTTCGCCTCTGCTCTGCGCAGCTGGTTCTTCAAGAACCTGAGCCGCAAGGACGCGGAGCGGCAGCTCCTGGCGCCCGGGAACACGCACGGCTCCTTCCTGATCCGGGAGAGTGAGAGCACAGCCGGTGAGCGGGTGGGCGGGGCCCGGGCGGGGCGGGGCCACGGCCGGAGGGACGGCGGCGGGCCGTGGGGG